CAACATCCCTCATTATAGGAATGGCCCCAGTAGTGCCCTGGTATGTGAAGGTGTCTAAGTACTCCTGTACCTAAAGCCTCATAGATGTATATCTGCAGTCTGAGATCTACGGCACTGCTGCCTCTGACTGCTAGTATCGGGAGATTTGGAGTGTGATTTGGTGATGTCATTACTTTGTTGGTACTGTTCTCCTTGCTGGAGACTCTAACATGAGAAAGGAAAGCCCTGCCTCTACCACAATGGCCACCTCCAAACATCACAGAACAAGCCATGGAGAGTTAGTAATGGGAAAACATCAGCTGCAGGGAGACCACAGGGCAATACGTTATTTGCCCTCTGTATGTCTTTTATTGGTCAATGCTTCCAAAGTTCAGTTCCCCTTGAAATTATTAATACAGGCGGGCCTACTGAATAAAGATTTATAGCTGCCTCCTTCTTTGTGTTTTCTCAGCTTGGCCTAGTCTGCCACTTAAGCTTCAGCTTCAAGAGTCAGAGGTCATCTGAAGTCTAACATTCGCTGCTCAGTAGACGGTCCTCACCCAGACTCTTCACAGTACTACATGGCAGTGACGTGCCATGCCTTCGATGCTAGGTGAGGCATCCCTAAGCCCACCAAAGCCCCGCCCAGACTCGCAAAAGCACCGACCCATTTCCCCTGAAGCCCCACCCCCAGCTTGGCAACCAAACTGTGTGGGGAGGAGGAAGGGAGGAGACAGGGAGGAGCTTCCCTGTCCCGCACTTACTTGTAACTGCTCGGAATCGATGGCCTCATCAGGGTTTTTTTTCTTCTTTTTTTGGATTGGACAGCTTGGACCAATGGTGCTTTGCCATTGGTCCAAGCCATCCACAGAGCTCACGCCTCTAACACGGAGTAGAGGCTGTGACAGCTCTTGCCTCACCAAGTTAGGTTACACAAGCAGTGGGGAAGCCAGCTGCTGTGCAACCTAACTACCTGTCAAAAGCTGAATGCAGCGCCGCCTGTAATTAACATCCAGCGCTCCGTCCATGACAGGGTTACATAGCGGGGAGGATTTCCCTGCTCTGTAACCTGTAACAAGCCGATCTGAATAGAGAAAAAGCTGTCACCTTCACACTTGAAGCTGACACCTTTTTTCTGTATAATACTAGGTATGGCTCTGCCTCCCCTGACCGCACATCCCTGCTACATGGGCAGAGCAGCAACTGTTATGCTGACAAACAACAAAAACATTATATGCATTTCAACCAAAAAAGGCGCCAAACAAGAGTTCTCAGAGTCCAAAGGGGTATTTCATTGTCTCCAAAAATGTAAGAAAGGCGCCTTCATTAAATATTATCTTCCTGGTTTGGGTTGAATTTTCCAGATCTGGGTGCAACTGATGCCTAGTTGCTTTTTAAAGCTCTGATGAATGGGGATTGCTGAACCCCAGAAACACGTTGGCTGCCTTGTGCTTTCTAATGGTGTCATTTGCTGAAACAATAAAATATAACTTTGGACTTTAAAAGAGAACTATGGGGTAAGTGTTTTCCCCCATAGTTCTCCTAAGGGTCACGGGAGGACATAAACTAACCTCCTCCCATGACCCAAAGCTACAGCTCACGGTATACTGAGATCGTCGCAGCTGGGACGGATCCCGACATTACTGTCGAGATCCACCCAACTGCGTGAGTGACAGCTGGCTCTGCCTATGTAGATGGGGAATCCCTGCAGGGAGCCGTGAGTGACAGTCACGGCTCCCTGCAGGGAGATGATCGAGAAGTGAACGAGCGATGGTATGTGTTCGCTCACCTCCCGATCTATTGAGCCGACGTGTGACAGTTTCATTGTCACAGGTCGGCTAGAACTATGAGGATGAGGGATTTTCACTCGCCTCATAGTTCTTCTTAAAGTGACATTAAACCCTCAGATTTTTTAACATAAAACAATACTGTAATGTGCGCCTTACTGTAATCCAAGGTAGTTTTGCTTCTCTTTGCTGCTCTTCCTTTTAAATCTGTATCTCGTCTCATGCTGGGCAGAACTTCTGTTTTGCAGCAGACTGCCTTGTCTCAGGAATGGATACATGGTGTCTGTGTGTAGGTTCACAGCCTGAGCCAGCACTACAGGAAGAGGCTCTGAGCTGCAAAGGGAAGTTCTCCCCCAGCATGAGAAGGGAAACTACCATGGATTACAGTAAGGCGCACATTACAGTATTGGTTTATATTAAAAAATCTGAGGGTTTAATGTCACTTTAAGAATGCTTGCCCTCTTTGGTTGAATGCATATGGACTGCTCTAATCAGGTGACCTCTAAGAGGAGCCCATTATGTGCCAAATATAAGCCATTTGGCTTTGCACAAAATTCTATCATTATATATCAGAGATCTGTATCCTGCATCCTTTGAAGGGGTGACCTCATAATGTTGTTTTACATGCTGGTTTGTGAGTGTGCCATGATGCCTTTCTACTGTTCTACTGTTCAAAGCCCATTTCGTGTGCACCTTACTGTATAACTGGTAACAAATTGTTGAGTGCGTTTGTCGACCTCATAATTTGGCCACATAGATATGTGTGATGGTTAGATGTTCACAAACCTCTGGCCTTGTAGCGTATATGTATCACGTGTCACGTGAGAGTTTCGTTATGAAAAATGTGGTATAAAGGA